CTTGAGATACGGGCATTTAGAGGACCGAATCTTTGGGTGATTCTAGGGGATTTGGATCACGACGTCGGCGGTAATTCGACGGTAACTTGTAGTTACGTACACGGTTAAATGCGCGCGGTTACAGCGTTACACCTGAATGACTTGGCGTTAACCGTCGATATTGTGTAGGTTCGATATTGGCCGTCGATGTACGGTATAGAGTGAAATTTTCGGACTTGCTAGGTGACGGTCCACTGAGCCTACTAGGCTAGAGTGTAAACCTTGAGATAGGCGGTGACTCGGAACACTCCATATACATCGTGTGAACTTGATTGATTCAAAATCACTTCCAACAACGCTGTGTTTCAACACATATTAAAGAGAATACGAGTCTGTTATAGGTCTTTTAACCAAGATTTCGCAGTCAAGCCTTTCCTACGACCATCAAATTTAGGCAAAGCTCGCAAAGGCACAGTAGAAGTACGTCCAAGATCCACAGATTTCACAGCAAGAGCAACCTGGATTTTTTGAGTGGCCTGATTCAAAACGGGAGAGGCAACGGGGCTAACATACGTAGACCGCGGAACTTGAGAGGGAGGCGAACAATGGAGAAGGCGAAAGTCTTTGCATTTTGTGTACACAGAGCTGGCTTGGGCGGGTGAATAATCGGTTAATTAGTTGGATGATCAAAACTTGGATTGGAACATTAATCCTCTACTCTATACTAAGTAGGAGTAAATGGAAGAGGAGTCGACATAGTAGCATTGGCAGTTTGAGCCGCGCGAAAGAATTAGCGGTAGCGTTTTTGTACTCAGAACGGACATGTGAGAAGTGTGTGTTGAGATTCGGGCATTAAGTGTGCGCGATCTCTTGGGTGACGTCGACGGGAGTTCGACGATACCGGTGGTTAGTGGTTGGCGGTCAAATGCGCGCGGGTTACAGCGTTACACCCGAATGACTTATTAAGATAACCGCCGTAATGAGTAGATTCGATAATAGCCGTAGATATTCAGATTTGCGCGAGATCTTCGGGCTTGCTTATCCGCGGTCAACTGAGCCTACTAGGCTGTCAGTGTGACCCAGACTAGGAGTGTGACTCTACTTGAGTGAGTCTAGCATAGCACACAGACCGCAGAGCTTTAGCGCAGCTAGACTCCGAAAATTCGATATGTATTGTGTGAACTTGATCAATCGATCATTCATTCCAAACAACGCCGTGTTTCAACAGTGCATAATGGAGGACAGAGTCTGATTACACTAACGGCCGATTCTGTTCGAAAGGCACCAAGAACACTGAATGGATGACGTGTCACATCAGAAAACATAGTGTCGAAGACGACATGTCGGAAATTGGTGATCGGAACCGCGGAGGTCAAAGAGATACTCATCTAACTCCGACTCACCGCCGATAGCAACAATCTCGCTGGTCGGCTAGGCACTTTTGAAATGATTAGTCGAGGGTCGAAGAGACTGTGCGAAAGTCGGCGAAAGTCCATCAAAGTCAACTCCAGAAGGTCGTACAGTCGGATCTCTAGTTTCCTCATGATTGTTTGCTAACACGACGATCTGACAAGGAAAAACCGAGCCGGAACGGACACCAGATATTGCAATAGCAATGAGATTAAGATAAGAGGAGCTGATTGCTTGGCAGATTAAGATAAAAGAAGTTGAGTGCGT